ACTGATTGATATGGCTGGGTGTCGTAAACAGTGGCGTTCGTGCATCTCCTCAATTTCTTTGCAACCTTAGACCACTGAACTTCTCCATTTTCTTTTCTTCTCCTATTCTTCATCCAAATGGGCAGCTAAAAGACAGCAACCAAAACCGGCGCACGAATATGCGTGGTTAATGGTTGTTCAAACTGAAACTGATATATATATATATATATATATATATCTGCTAGTATATTTTCACTGTTGTTGCGTTGGTCGATGTTTCTCCTCAGGTTACTGTTAAATGAACGTTAGGCTAAGAAGAATAATCGAAAATTTTAGGGTATGATGCAAAGTAGAATTCTGAGTGGATTTCCTGCTACCCGCTACCTGGAAATACGTGCGTTAGCGTATCACTCCGATGGTTGGAAACTTCAAGCAACCTAACATCTCAGACCTGAAAACGTTCTACGATACTGGTGGCATTGCATTTGTGGAACACAAACATGATTTTCTTGTTTGTGATGCAAAAGTATACTACCCAATATACGATGAAATGTGCTTGAGGTTATTCGTGTGATTTGTGTTTGACATGTAATAAAGTAAACGTGTAACAACACCTTTCCATGACAATTTGACATTGGGGGAATTGAAATCAAATCGAAGGTGAGGTATGATTTGAAACAGATTGGTTAACTCATTGCGAAGCTATATCTGACCTCGAGCAAACGAATGAGGCGAGTGCGTTAGGTTTGATGCACGAAGTCAAATTTACTTTTTATTTCTGCTGTATAATTGTATCCGATAAACAGTGAAATTCAACGTCTTAGTTACGCGGATCTTCTGTTCGGTTAAGAACCGGAAAGAGGTTTCAACAGGACAGAGCAGGTTCGATAATGAACTGAACAACATATCGGATTGCAACAGCAATGCACCTTACGCAATCACTATATCTCCCATTGTTGGTACTTTAAGCTTTGATCTGTTACAATTGGGAAGTTTCTGGAGCACCAATGCAAATGGAATAGATTAAAATTGTGCCATTTTACCAGTCACACTCTGATTCTCTAAAACATTACGAGATACTTCAGAAATCCTTAGCTCGTCCTTTTCAGCCAAGTGAAGTGAGATAACCACTGGAGGTCTATCGAGAATGGACATTGAACGTATGCCCGTTCAGAGTTGATATCCATCTCGGTCTCAAACAACAATCAAACACAACAAATACGATTAATCATTTGTCCCTCAGTGAAAATCCGTCAACACGAGGTTCATACAACTATGCCGAAAAAAATACAATGAAAAACATACCTTCTCTTGAGCCTTTTCATCGTCCTTCCCACCAAATCGTTGATTGAGTTCTTGCATGAAATCTTTTGTGGCATTTAAAGAACTGGTTGCCTCTGTATCTCCGGGTACATCGAAATACGGCTTAGGACGCGCTCCCGAGGTGGCTGTCCCATGAGTGTCCCCGGTCGGTCTAGCCTTGTCACTCGCATCAGTTACCTTGTGTCCATCTGCGGTTCCAGAATTTCGTGAACGATGACTGACTGTGGGGGCGTACTCTGCACCAACACCTTCGAAGATGTCTCCACCAACTGTTTTGTGACCGCGAAGAAGAGGAGGAGGGAAAGAAATCATGTTAAGAAATTCCCATCGACGCACAGAAACAAGTAAACCAACAAAAAGATTCAAGTCATCACAAATCGATTCTACCGATGAACAATACAACCGTTTGGAGGATTACGAATATGTGAATTGTCGCTTCTAATCAACGGAGAAGCGATACGTCAAGCAAGTTTGTTACGAATTTTCTTCTGATTATAGCAATGCTACGTGCATGTGTTGATTGCAACCTTGAAAACAAAGTGTTGTAGGTGAATTAAGTTTTTTTTCGATAAATGATGAAATGCTCATTCATAACTGTATGAGGGGAATATTCAGTATGGTTCGACGCGGTGTGACGTGAACCTTATCACACCATGTACTAAAGTGCCTCAAGTGCGTCAAATCAAGTAGTTGCGCAAAACGTGGCCATCATCCAGAGATTATGCAAGAACGAGATGCCTCTGGTTGCAAAGGGTGGTCAAATGATCGAGTCTCGATTGTTTCGACGGTAAGCAAGGTATTAGACATCAACGGAAGAGAATAATGTAGAGGATTTGGAAGGTACGACTGAAGTCTACTGCGTAAATCATTTCGTGTGTTTGTTAGCATACGGCGCTTTATGCTGTCTTCGTTCTGCCATTTCCTGGTCATGAAGGATAAGATCCATCTTAGACCGGATCGAACAACATTGCATATTTCCCTGTTGATGGTTGATGACCAGTTTATTTTACCCACCGGATATTGCTTTCACTGTTATGCGGACCGTAAAAATTTGGGTGAAGCTATTTCGACAATGATGACAGTCAATCAAAAGTAAACGAATAATGATGCAATTTATGGATCAAAAAGGGTTACCGAACGATAAAGCAACAGTTTGCAGTTCAACTTTAGATGTTTCCCTGGATTACGAATATAATCTAAGCCTCCCGACAACGGATTCAGCCTTAGGCCAACAGAATCCATCATTGAAACTGTCGTTCGACGAAACCCTATCAGTCATTGATGACAACGACCGCAACAAATAATACAATAGAAGGTAGACAACTCAATGATCATCTCGTAGACCACTAAGAGTTCGACATTTTTATTCTTTTGAGCTGTGAAATACCAATCATGCGTGGGTTCAACTTGGGTGCCAACAATGGGCTATGGTGCACCACTACAAAGCGAAGCACAGAACAGGAGAACAAATCCGTATAACGAAAATACCAAACTGAAAACAATGATTTCGAAGTGTCAATAATTTTTATCATAAATGCACGAGAGTCTCAACCCGATAATGTTTTGATGTTTTGAATTGTAATCTGTCCGGCCTGGATGAATTCAACTAGTTCAGNAGGCCAGTAAAGTGGGTACTAATTCTATGAAAGATGCTTAGGAATACTCATTTGAATTTATCAACACAAAATCTTTGTATTGTTGTGTCCGTCAGATCGCATATAAAATAACACGAACATATCTAATCCTTATCACTATCCACTCAATCGGTGTCCATCGACCTTGTCGCTCAGGCATGAGGGTATTGCTTCCCAATCGGTAGCTTTGTAGTTCCAGTATAACCACAGACACAGATAGAACGTACATCTGATGGGTCTCAATCGGGACGAAACAACTGCCCAGTGCTCTTAGTTTGCCTTCATGTGACGCACAGTAAAGAGTAATGAACCAACTCTGTCAACATATTTTATTGCTCAGTTTCGCATTCCACGATGGCATAACACATTTCACACTATGTGCAGTCAAATTTTATAGATACCGCCGTGATATGCAATAAAATACCGTCGTAGAATCACTGAATCAAAATGGAACTGATGTTGATGGAAAAGAAATCCCACTTCCTTCAGAGCATGGGGCTGCTCGTGAATTATTCATTTCTTAAACTCATCCCGGTCAAATTAATATCAACCACACCTAATTCGTAAAGTCAGGATGCGAACCATCGCGAATATAACAAACGGAAGTTGTTCAAACACGAGAGCCTTGACCGAGCTTTTCTATAAGAGCTTGAAGTTCGGTGTCGTTTTCCCTGAAGATTGGGGACCCGTGTTCAACCAGTCGGATCAGAGACTTCGGGCAGGGTACACAAATCCGTGAGGCTAATACGTCTTATCTTCAAGTCAAGTCAAGTCACGTTAAGCTTTATGCACCCAATAGAATGAATTTTCATTCGACAAATTACAGTGAGGAAAACGTTGAGCATTAAATGAAAAACAAATGGATGTGATAAAATCTTAATGTGACAGGCGATTTTCCAAGTGAGAAATAATAGTTGCTCGGTTGACCAAGACACAAGTAAAATAAGGGATGATGCTGTTTTATGTGGTGAAGCGTGCAACAAGAATCCTAAATCTGGAACGCGCACTCGGATGAGACACCAATTTATCAAGATAAGCACGCAGGCAGTGTTCTTCATTAGACAGTAGCTGATAAATTTATCGTATGAATCAAAATGCTTGCTCACAATAAAATCAACCAAAACGGTTTTTGAAATGTCACTGCAACGAGAAAGAAGTTTAAGAGATCTGGAAAAGATAATAGTCTTTCTCCTTCATACTAGGCAAATATACGGGGGAACAGTACAACCAATGTGGAAGAATGCATGCAGTCACAAATTTAAGAATTGCATTTAGGGGAACACCGAGATTTTTAAGCCTAAAAGCGTAGAAGGATAGTCTACGAACCCTAATGTAAATGCTTTTTCATGAGCGAACGGATGCTACATGAGATAATAGACGAAACGGCCAAATTATCAATGGAACACCGCACGCCAGTCAGTACGGTGTTTATTATGGTGTCCCTGAACACATTTTCGCAGTCGTTTGAAGCGATTTCTCACAGAATGGGCAAAAGTCGGAAGCTGACGTTTCGGTGCGATAAAATCCAACGATCTGAAAAATGTGGCATTGTAGGATAATATTTGTTAATTCAGTTGATTCGGTGACCATCTCGATCAAGGTTTCCCGGAACCCGTTCATAACACTCTTCTTGGGATGTTTGGAATCAGTGTTTTCTAGTTCCCCTAGACAAACTAGTTGCCTGTAACAGTCACGGGTGATGGCTTTTCGAACTCTCGCATTGGTGAAAGCACCTTCGCCACGAGAACGCGCGGAGCAGAACTTTTAAAGCAGAAGCTTGAAATGATGCACTCAGTGAGAATTTATTCTACTACTGTCTGATAAACCGGGGTTTTCTACTATGGATGCTGTCTCGATAAGCCTGTGAACTCCGGGCTCAATGCTATAATTAGTAATATTTAAGTTTAGTTGATAGGATCAGGCCGTTAGTTAATATCATTTTATACTAGACTGATAAGAGTATGCAATATCTCCCGCGTAATGAAAGGACCAGTGACAGTGTAAACAAACTGAAGACTGTTGGATAAAGCGTTTGTATCAAACCTGCTTTCGTGGCTCAATTAGACCAATCAATATAACCGAAATGCAGTTTGGCGTTTAAACGACGCATTCGTTTACTAAGGTCACACCAGGGAATCAAAAGGTTTACTGCTATCAAAGGGGATGAATGTGTGAGACAATACGAGAAAGTCATCGCGGATACCTTAAAACTACGGTGACCCGGGAGAACAAAATGAACGCTAGTTCGCATTTTGACGAACAAAGGAAAGCATGATAACAGCTGTGAACATTTAAAACATAGACTAGAAGTATAACACGAGTATCTGAATTACCTGCTGGTCTATGCCCATGATCCTTTCCAGTGTGTGCCTCATAGCCTTGTGCCTCCCTCTCACCAAGTTTTCCCTTTAATTTTGCTTTCTTCGCATGGCGTTTTCCAGCACGCAAATACGAGAGGATTTGAGTGAGTTTGTTAATCACAATCTCATTAGTGGTGATAGCAGCGGTTCCCTTTCCATCCAACTGCATGCAGTCTGATTTGCTACGAATTACTGTGGCAGGGACTTCGAAATCTACCGAATCGTCCTCCAGTTCAATTCGATAGGCCATGCGACCAGGACGGAAGTATTCATTCCGTTCCATTGGTCGCTCACCAAACAACAAATCACAGATATTGGCCGCCATTCGAGTTCTCACCTGTAAACCATCCTCGCCAGATTCTTTGTTCACTTCTGGCTTCGCTAATTCAGCATCTAACTGCTGTTCGGCTTCCAATTCTTTGTTCTGAATTTCCAAACGAACTTTCTGTAGTAGTACATAATCCAGCCCCTTGACTAAATGCGTGTGTTCCATATCACCGCCAAGATATTTTNAATCAACATTCGACGCCTTTCTGCGTGCGATTCACTGGCTGCGGTGGTGGGTGCCACCGCACGGTAGTCGGCAGTGCGCGTGAACGTCTCTTCTTCGTTCTCTGCGTCCCTGTCATCCTGACCTTCGTCGGCCGGTGCGACCAGTTTTCCATCACGACGTTCTTTTGCACGATCCCGATAGCGCGGGGTTGCATCTACTGCATTGTCCCGCGCCTGTTCGCGACGATGATGTCTGTTGTGATGACGCTTTTGCTTGGGCTTAGCGCCAGGAGCCAAATCGCGACGCTTTCTGTCTCCTCGATCTGGAGGTCGCATCGCGTCTGACCCGGCAGTTGGTTTGACATCGTCTGTAACCTGTGTAGGGGTCGGAGCACTGGCTCTTGGAGTCATGAGCAATTTGCGAAAATCACTGTTGGACAACTTTTGATTCTTGACCTCATTCGGAGTTGCAAATGCATCCGGTGCCAAGGGGTTTGAAACCACGTCAAGATAATCCGTCATTTTAACTGTCGGAGAAAAATGGACCACTTATTTAAAAGTTAGACGTGCGGCGCAAATTATAAATTCAAGTTAAAACAGATTTAATGAAAAACCCATGGAAAATGTGGATGATGGCATACTTGACTAATGGAAAGTGATACTATCCGACACATGGAAAGTTGCAACCTGATTCCATCGATTCTCGAGAACCTTCATGGAAGTCACAATTAGTCATTTATTTATCATTCACGCTGTGGCATCGACGGAAAGCGATGTCCCTTTTGCCTGGCAGTGACCAGATTATCATGTAATTCTTACAAATACATTTATATCAGTCTTGGGGACTTCAGTAGAAAATGGCACATGCTGGGAGTCGGTGCACCAGGTCTTTTATACTGCACTACAACCGGATACATATTATCTGAATCACATAAACCCACCTAACGGAATACTGTTTGACGCATCAGGGTTCCAGAAAAGGATGCGGGTTATCATCTCTAACGTATTCAGTTAACGGGGGTTTAACAGTTCTACTAGAAACCGCAGTAGTACTACCACCTAGCCGCTGGAGTAATAAGTAATTCACTCTAAGCCCCTGAAGTAGGTGACACTAAGTCCCAATAATCAATACAATTATGGATTTGATCATTCACAACCATACCAAAATTCAGGCATTCCATCTATAAACACTTGCGGTTTAAAGTGTAACATGCCTCCAAATGCCACCGTACGGTAAGGAGTGAGTGCTTTGTGTTCTATGGCTATTAGCCTGAAAGGCTATAGGAATGCTCCTAAAAGACAGAGTCTGAGATAACTCCTGCTGACGAATTTCTACCCATTACCTTTGTATGGTGGATGAGTTAGCAATAAAGTTGAAGGGGAAAGGCAAATATCCGGTGCGTACAATCTGGTTCAATTACCATTGGCATTTAGTTTAGGAGAGTTGGCTTATACCCCATTTCAAAGTTCACCAATTGTTGGCGGAACCCTAAAATGGACACCAAAGTTCACCTTGTGAGTCGATCACCACGACGCATATCGGCGAAGGTGCGGATCAAGGGCAAACTGGGTACCCTGGATATTCGACTACATCCAAAAGGAGTACGAATTGGTATAACAGTCACCAGCTCCCAGATGACCGTGGATTCTTTACTACACATTACTGCCATGTGGTCTAAGTTCTCTAACCAGAGGTTCCGGAAAGGGTCTCCTAGAAAAGCTCTTTATTTTGGGTTAAAAATCTAGTACTTTCAAACCCACAATCTAACCACGGACACAGCACTATAGACGTCACCCATTTCCGTACTCAGTCGCAACATGCAGTCTTCACGAAAACTGCACATGAGACTTTTAACTACACAACAAATCACCCGACCCCTACACATACAAAACTCAATCTTTCCTGTTTCCTCTGTTCCGAATAGTTCTACTAATATCTACATCAGTAGATTCATAATGGAGCCCACGA